ATATTTTTACAAAAGCCTTACCGGAAGTTACATTTAATCGAATTCTACAAAGGCTCAGAATGATAAAAGATGATTTGATTCTAAAATCATCTTTGAGATTCCGAGATCAGTACAGTTCACTTCTGAAATGCTCCGATCTTCGGAAGCTATCAGAATCTACAGTTCATTTCCGAAATTGTTCAATCTTCAAAAGCTATCAGAATCAAATGTTTACATTCAAAAAATTTCTCTCTTCAGAAGCCTTAAGAATTCAGTTTTCACTTGAATATCGTCTTATTCATTGGAATCAAATGGAAGACTTCATTTTACAGTTACTTCTTAGTAGTGAGAGAGTACAATTGTTCGTAAGCCGGTGCACTTGGTAACTATTCTTTTCTTGAATTTTGTCTTTAAATTTTAAAATTTTCAAAAATGCAAAAAGATGTTCCTTATTTTTGTTTTTAAATTTCAAATATTCAAAAGGGTTTTCTTTATTTTTGTTTTTAAGTTTCAAAAATTTTGAAAATCCAAAAAGATTTTCTTTATTTTTGTCTTTAAATTTCAAAATTTTTAAAAATCAAAAAATATTTTCTTCATTTTTATCTTTATTTTTGTTTTTCTTTATTTTGGTTATTATGGTTGGTTTGTTCCTTGTTCCACATGTCGTATTCATGCATGCACAACCAAAACTCTACAGGGATCATATAATTTTTGTCTCGTAACTCATTGATTAGTTAAGTGTCCCTAGAAGCATGTTGCGGCATGTTGTCTGAAGTCTCAAACACATCTTTAGATGCATGCTCATTGATTAGTTAAGTGTCCCTAGAAGCATTCTCATTGATTTGTTCAGTGCCCATAGAAGCAAAGCTCTATAGGGATCAAATAATTTTTGTCTCGTAACTTATTGATTAGTTAAGTGTCCATAGAAGCATCCTGCAACATGTTGTCCGCTGTCTCAAAGGCATCTCTAGAAGAAACATGCTTATTATATAGTTAGGTGTCCCTAGAAGCATGTTCATTGACTAGTTAAGTGTCCCTACAAGCGAAGCTCAATAGGGATCACATAATTTTTCTTTAAAAATTTATTCCCAACAGGCTGTATTAATAATAGTCATAGAGCTACCTTTCTCTACTTATTTCGGAGTATAGAGATTCCTACTTGGTCATTTTTAATAGTAGAATTACTATGTTTCATGTATCCAAACATGGAAACCAATGATGTCTTGGGTATATACAAACCTAAATATATGGTTCTTTTTCTACGCCTTAATGAAATGACGGTCTACTCAACTATAATTTTTTATTAATCCTTGATCTTTCGAGTCTATACCAACTCAGAGTTATGGTTTTTTCAAAAATTATTTTTATGATCATTCTCATTATTACCATGGGAGTTTGAAAAACTCGGTTCTTTTTCCAATCTTATATTTCTTACACTTTACCCACACAATGACACATATCCCGAGATATCTCTAGAAAAAACAACTAGGATGTAAGTGTGCAATATATATGTGTTTATTATCTATTCGTCGTTATCACCATGATGAAAAGTGAGACCCAAAAATCATTTCATTTAAAGGAATTAACAGTGAAATTGTTTACGAGTTCTAGATTTTAAGCAATGAATTGACGGTATTTCATCTATGTTCAAAAGCTCATAGTTTTTCTTTTGTGTGATCTTATTGAAATTGGTTGAATCCATATTGTTTCTTCCAAATAGATCTAGATTTTATATTTCAAAATTATGAGTTTTTAGTTTGAACATTTTTCTTACTTATCTGGGTGTTTCTGTCCTGTAGCCAAAGCTTTTCACTTACTTGAATTTGGCTATACTGGTCAATCAATATTTTCTTTTCGTATCTCTGCACTTATTTTAAGTTGCATCTACGATTTGAAATAAGCCTTCTCGTTTCCCTTATAAAAAGATGCATTTCATAAGTTCTTAAAAAGTTATCAATCATAATTCAATAGGGAAACCATACAAGCAATGCTTAGTCTCTCTTGACAATGAAGGAAGAGTATTTGTGCCCGAGATAAATCTACTTTCATATCAAATATTTTTGACATCACAAATCCATGACATTTTTATTTTCTTTATTTTTTTTTCTTTGGTACACTCTTGTACTAAAATCCTTGTTATTTTATAAAATCTAATTTCCGTTCTGAAATTATATCTTCTTGCGAAATCAATTCTGGTCATAATTCCAATGGATTCTATTTTGGCTTATGCAAAGCTAAAGGGTGGAATAATGATTGTGAAACTGCTACAAACCGAAAGGGCATGTTTCATGGAAGGGAAATTCAAATTATGCGGCATATTTTGAAGCTCAATGATGTCATTCCAACAAATTTCAAACGGCGTCTAAAGCAGTTACAGAAAATGGTGAGCTGGCATAATTCTATTGGACCATTATTTTTTACATGATTGGCCTGGGAATTTCTTGGCTGGCGTAAAAGTGGTAGGCAATTAATGTGTGATCAACAATTTTCTCTCTCTACTTATGGATATCAATTTAAATTCAAAATAAACTGTTTGGGAATCCAATACTATATGAAACTTAAGAGTTGTACGATCTACTATTTTTGCAATAAAAGTCTTCACAAAATTCTCAAAGTTTCTCTATTATTCTTCAATTTTCTACAAGATCCTTTCTTCTACAAATGGATTCTTCTAAGAAAATCTCTTACATGGATCAATCTACAACAACTGCGATGTTGGAAATAATGGTGAATCTGAACTTAGTGGTTGATTGAGATCCATTGAAGTACAACCATACTATTCAACCTTTGATAGAATGCATGAATCATTCACCACTTCTGAACACTTTAAGAATGTTTGAGAATGTTCCTCTTTCTTACTTACCTATGGCATATCCAACTACAATATAAAATAGTGCTTAAGAGGTGATGAATTTTGATGTTCATGGCCATCACAATTCAATTTCCAAAGCAAATTTCTACAAATTACTAGGGTTATCATTTTCACAAGATGTTATTCATCTAGATACAATTGCTATTTCTCGTCTTATTGCTATGCTTCATCAAATGGGGTATAATTTTGATCTTTCTCTCCTATCGAAGTTTAGGAAGTCTGCTTTGCCTCCGATCTGGAATGCATTATTCACTATTTTGTTCAAATGTTTATCGGAAAGGGTCACTGGTTCTGATAGTTCTAGCAAATTCTTTTATACTTTGATATATGGACTATTTTCTGGGGAGAATATGGATTCTGGAACGATAATTTGGACTCAATTCACTCAAAGTGTGACTTTAAGTACAAAGGATTTAGAAATTTCTTATGCACGGTTTTGGTCGATTGTTGTTCGTAGTGCCCTAAATCATTACCAAGTTCCATAGATGACTGATTCTATAAGAAGTGAAATTCGAAAGATGCAAACAACTACTTTTGTTACTTCTAACTCAAAGAATTTCACTTTTGTTGGCTCAATTCCCGAAGTGATGATGGCTATGCTTCCTCTTTAAAATGTTATTATCAAATCCTACAGGGAAATTCTAAATTCTGGTGTTTATGAAATGCGTCCATCTCTGCAAACAACTCTTAATATTGTTCATATTCCAAAAGGAGGAGGACCGAACTCACAGTGATATTAGGGGTGAAGATGTATTCCTTAATGAAGAAGATATTGCACATACTTCCGAGTTTCATTTAAAGAATTCAGATCCGATTTCCAAAATTTCAACTCTGAAGGTATCTACTCCACAAACTTCATCCATTTTGATTCCACCTGAGTCATATGTTTTTGAACATTTATTGAATGAGCCAATTATCAATCTTTCTCGGACCCCTCCTCTACCTCCTATGAAACCAACATTTGTTCTGATTGATATTACTGTAAAACCTCTTTCAAAGTCCATTTCTGCACCAACATCCGAAACTCAAACCAGTTCATCATTCTCGATTCCGATCTTTACGGACTCTAGAACAAATCCTTATGTGTCGCAAACTTCGAAAACCACATAATCTCCACCAGAAGTTTATACTTTTTAATCCAATAAGGACGAGAATATAAATTCATGCATCCTTGAGAACACATCTAATATAGACTCAAATTTCAATATTGGTGTGACCACATCGGAACCCACATCTTTTGTTCCTCTCTCCTCTCCTGGATCTGATGAAGATTTTCTTGTTGGTGATAATGAGGATGATGTTTATTTATCTACCATAATGACTTTTGGCGAATTTCGTGAGTTAAACAAAAAGATAGATCAGATTCTTTTGCATACCAATTCTTTATCAACAAAAAGACTTGAAAAATATGGTTACATCTCATCAAGTAGGTATAGAGATGCTAACTAAATCCAATGCTACTACTTTTTAAGCTGACAAAAAGTTAACTGAAGAATCAACTAAGAAGATTGTAGAATCAAATGTAAAGGTTGATAAAGTTGTTGATGTTCATGAAATATCTTCTAACATGACCAAGTTCATGTGTGAGTTTAAAACATCTTTTGAGAAGAATGTTTCTGAAGCTAACCAAAGTGATTGAAGGGTTTCGTCTATCTCTTCAAACTAAAAAAAAAGCTCTTTCAAGTCTACATTTTGGTCTTCCGAAAGACACTGCAGATCATCATATGTCTATTGAAAATTCGATTTTGAGGTTGCAAAATGCTCTTGCACATGTGAACAAGATTGGGGATGCACTTGCTGAGTCTACTCAAAAGGCGAACGTTCTTAAAGAATAATTGAAGAATGGAACCATTAAGCTTGGAAAAATGAATGAAGAATTAATTTTTATGAAGGGACAAAATTCTTAAATCGATCAGCGTCTTCTAAAGATAGTTGAAAACAAGGATGCTCCATTTGATAATTATACTCCACAACTCATAGATGGCAGGATGAAACCTGTTCTTGCGAACCTTATTGAAGTTTTTGATGTTATGCGTAGCTAGGCTACTATGCAACAAGGGGAGATGAAAAAGTGAATGAAGATTAAATTCTCGTGAATGAAGATGAAGTTCAGGAATTCAAATTTAGAAATCGTTATCAGTCTAGGAAAATGGATAAGAAAAAAAATGTTGATAATGTTGTTCTTGAATGGAAATCTTTGAAAGTTAGGTTGAAAAACCTTAAAGAAGTGAAGATTGTTCGGAAGGGTAATGTATCTTGTGGATCAGGAAAAGGGAATGTCAATATTGTTTCTAAAGAAGATATTGATCTTAATCCAATCTTATCTGAACAAGAATTAAAGGAACAAGAAAATCATGATAAGGAGCTTGATGCTTTAGATGCTTTAAAAGCAAAATCTAAAGCTAGGGAAGCTGAAGAGAAAAATGTTGAACAAAATCTTGCTTCTAAGAAGGTTATGTTTCTAGATTGGGCAGTTGATCGTATTCAAAACAAAGCTATCGATAATCTAAAATTGTTTTGGTGAGAAACTCAGACTTCTTTTTCTATTTAGAATGAAATAGAATGTTAGCTCGACTATCTGATTACAACAGAACCATTTCAATTTCGATGCTTTTGAAAGCATTGTGTAATTCCTTTGGTGAATGTTTCTATAAAGAAGAAACTGTTTATTTCTATGGGAAAAAATTAAATCCATTGTATGATTCCTGGAGTTTGAAGAGGATTGTTGGATTGAATGTTCGAAAACTCATTGTTAAAGATGGTTTACTAATATTAGCTTTAAAGCTTTCAGAGGTCATGATCATGAAGTCCATAATTTTTCCTTAGAAAATATTCCTTTTATGAATTCATATGATTAGATCTTATTGCTTAATATTGTTGCGAAAGACACTATAAAATATGAACTGATCTATCAATTTTTTAAAGAGATGATATGAGCATACATTCTTGAAGTTGCGTAAATCGATGTTGAAATTGTTGTTGTTCTCAAAAGAAAGCTAATTCTAAATCCCTTTTCACCACCTAAGAATTTGAATGAACTCAAAGTTGGTTTTATTGAAAAAGATCTTTAGGGAATAGCTTACAAGATAAAAGAAAATGAAAATGTGAAGAAATGCATGTTGTTCTTACGAGATAAGCATTTGTAATCTACTGAAACATTGAATCAAATCATTCAAAGAGATGAGGAAAACAAGTCAAATAGTAAAGGAAATTCGAAGTGTGTTTCCGATATGCTTAAATGGTAGATGGTTATTCAGAAGACTTTGTTGAAGACTATTCCAAAACTTTTTGAAGTTGCAGAGAAAGAGAATGTAAAGACCACAAGAACAACTTGACACAAAGGGGGAGATTGTTAGCATTTAGAAAATATGTTATGTCTAGTTGTATGCATTTTCACAATTTGTATGTCAAGTAAAGTGGCTCTACTAATTTCGAAACATGTAATTCCGATTTCAGAAACTATTTAACCTTAGGTTTGCATTTATGAATTTTCGACTTAGGATTTCTTTCTAGTGCTTCTCTGATGCCTATATATAGGAGCATTAGTGAGTACAATGGGTAGCTTTTTCATAGAATAGTTATGCATAGTACTTGTAACGAATTACTCTCTTTACCCATTAATGCAAAACATATATTATTTACCTTTTTGTGTTCTTATCAATATTTCAAATCTTCTTATGATATTTTAATTTTAGAATCTATCGTTCCTAAAATTCCTACACCATTCTAGTACTTTGTTATAAAATTCCATCCCATAGAAGGTGGGTTGAACCTAGGTTGTTAGAGGATGCATGCGCCTTCCTTATGAATGGTATGCATGTTGGGAATGTTGATTCTTTTTTTATGATTGAAAGTTTAGGATGTAATGCATGCTAGACTATTGACATTATACTTTGGTGAGAATTATGTGATAGGTTCATGATAGAAATAGGGTTATGTGTTAAATATGAGTGATTTTTATGCATGTAATGCTTGTAGAAAAAAGGTTTATTTAAGAAGTAAGTGAGTTGCATGCTACTAATGTAAAATGTTTTTCCTTCTTATGTTATGTTTGCATGTTTACATAGTGAGGAGTTGTAGAGGTAATATATTTATTATATTGATAGTAATTCAACATTAGGGAGGATAAAGAAGAATGTATTGTAAGTGTGTAACCCTTGTGTGATGAATTAATAATAAATTAATTAAAATGAGGAATACACTTAGTTAGGGTAAATGGGTAGCAACCTAGACTTAGTTGTGTACCCTATCAAGATTTTTTTGATGGCCTAATAGGTTGAAAGATACCTATAGGATAAGAGCTTAAACCAATAGTGATTCAGAGTGGTTTGTTTAGACCACCATGCGGGACATGGTCCATGGTTGTGAGGACTAGAGTGATGTTGGCATGGTGATGGTGCTAGTTCAAAAAATTTGGGTGGGAAGTTTCTATTAATCGGGAAAAATGATTAAGTATACCTCTTGGATGAAAACATATGTACGTATATGTGTAACATCAGAGTAGGTAACGTAGCATGCTAGGAGCAATGTTACAGGTCAAACTTGTGCCTCGGTTATTGCATTGGGTCGAGCTGGTCAAGTTAGTAGTGAATAAGGTTTTACCTCTTTGATTAATAATAAACCTGGGGGTTCGAGCCGGTCACGTTAGTTGTGACCTGGGCCCTTATCACTTAGGCTAGTGATGGACCTACAGATCATGCTAATGAAAAATAATATTTACAAAATATAAAAGACAAGAACGGTTAAGAATAATTTCTTACGTGAATAGAGACGGGCAATAATTAATATCAACATATAATAGTGATGGTTATATGATATGTGATGACTGTTTGACCCATTTTGGGATATGTATGTTTTATTAATTGTTGACTCACTTAGCATATACTTACCCTTGTTTCATTAATTGTTGCTTTTTTCTTGAATAGTTACTGGTAGTAGGTAGTGTGATTGATGGCATGGTAATGATGGGGACATTGGGTAGTCACATCTTGATATCATTTTGGACACGAGTTTTCATTTACCGTTCATTTTGTGAACTTTAATTTTTATGGAAGTTGTTTTTTATAATAAAGTAACATTGGCGATGTTTTCATAATATCTATTAAATAAGATTTTCACTGACGTATTCCGTTAAATATGTTTTAATAACTAAAAAAAATTGACGTAACAAATTATGATGTTAGACATTAGTTTGAGAGTTGTGAAATTTACATGGCCCATTGATGTATGAAACTATGGTTTGATTACATTAAAAGCAACTTTATATAATTGATTTTCAGGACTCTTTTACCTTCATTCATAGCTTGTTTTGTTTGTCATGTAACAACAAGAACAAGAATGCATAGTGAAACGATCATCATTTTCTGAGAGGTGAGCTATGTTAATAATGTTCCTACATAGCTTTTTGTATCTAGTATACAATATGAAGTAGTATTTTTGTTATATTCATGCGAATTAATAAAATCAACCATTTCCCGCAATATAGACCGTTGAAGCATCTCCAAAACTGTACATAACGTTGGATTTTTATATTGATATTTCGAAATTTAGTTTTTTCCTTGGTCATGTGATTAGTTGCGCCATTATCGAGATACCATACCTTGGACTGCTTTTCTTCTTTTTCATCCACTTTAAGTTTTAGTTTCACATTTTTTTTGTTGAAGAAAACTTCATCGTCAGGATCACCATTATAGACTATTTATAATAGTAATGTCAGTTTATTATCGACGTGAACTTAGGTTAGGTTAGCTTTTTGTGTTCTTTCTTTTCTTGGGTTCTTATCTTTTGTAGCATAGAGCCCATGTTCTTAGCAACTGTGACACTTGATCTCACTTTTGTCCTGATTATCATTTGTTCGATAAGTGCATTAACAGGATTGTTTGTTGTTGCCTTTACTACGAACTGCATGAACTAGATAGTTTCCAGATCTGCAAGCACGACTCCTTCCCCAACCTCATTAGTTTCATATTGTGGTTATTCTTTTCTAAGGAATGTGTACGTTCCTTGTATTGTTTCTTAACCCCTCCTACTACCTCTTTTGTACTTTCTTCTCCATTATAAAAAAATAAGATCACTTTAGGAATGGGTCGGTAGATGGAAACCATTGCCAACTTGCAATTATTTACAAGGTTTTAAGGATTCTTTGGATTGAGTGCTTCCCACATCCCTTAAGCTATCTTTCACTGGTATACCTACCTTGATGGCCCATGTTGCATATTCCGACTGTCATAACATTGTACACTGAATCAAGGGTTGCACTTCTTTTTCTGGCATTGCAACACTTCATGTTTTTTGTACCATGATTCACGCTGATTCCAAAATGTCAGAATTAATTTTCTATATTCTCTCAGAATGACGTTATATAGTAATGAATTCACTTAATTTTTTAAGAATGCCACACAAAAGAAATAAATAAGGAAAACTAATAAGGAAAGAAGAAACAAGGGAAAAAAACAATAGTTGGTCACCAACTATATTTCAAGAAAAAACTGAAAAACTTGATGTTTAAAAATGAAACGCGAGAAGCTTTATAGTAGACTTTAGACGTGATGGATACCCTCTTTATACTAGATGTCGTTGAGTCCTTTTCCAAGACAAAAATATATATATATATATATATATATATATATATATATATATATATATATACTTTCCTAAAATACATTGAATGACAGACTTTAATTTAGTCAATAATCATTCTCAGTGTTCAAAGGATAAATTATGGATATAATTAGATTTTCATAATGGTCGTTAAGTGATTTAAGCCCCTTGATTGTGTATTTGAGCCAAAAAAGGGGTAAATGGGAAAAGTGATATTTTGGACCTTTTGTGTGTATTAATGAAATTAATTTTTAGGAATTAAGTAAAAAGTAATTGTACATCTTTTAGGGCTTGTCAACTACGCGCTCATGTAAAGATCACTGAAAATGGGTTTAGAACGAAGAAGTTATGATTTTTCGTTGCTGAAAACTGAAAATCTGTGGAATTATGGTAAGAGCCTAGAGTGTTTCATAAATGGGTGTGGTGTGCTTCCGGCCCAGTGATTTGTTCATTTTTAGAGATTTTGGAGTATATAAATGTCATTAACGCTTAGGGTTTTTACATTTCTCAGCCTTCTAGAACATTCATTAAGAGAAACCCTAGCCTCCATTGAGTTTTATAAGCTTATACTTTCTCCTTGAACTATTTTTTGTGCTTATTTGGTATTTTAGTGAAGTTTGAAGATCAAGAAGATTTCTTTGGTTGCATGGATGGTGGTTTAAATTTTAGGTCCAACAATCTTCATTTCTACACCATTATGATTATAAAGTTCCAAACTTGCTCTTTGATTCATGAGATCTTGCTATTACTTGTCTTATGCACTTTTGATCCCTTTTTAGCGGTAATAGTTGAGTTGAAATGACTCCAACGCCTTCTAACCTTGTAAGATCATTCTAGAGACTACTTGTAATTGGAAGGTTGGTATCTTGTGCATGTTCATTAGGTCATGCAATTTGTATTGACATTTGAGGTTATATTTTTTTA